CTGGTTTTCAGGTATGATGATACAAATCCTGAGGCAGAAAAGGAAGAGTACATTAATCACATTGAAGAAATTGTTAATTGGATGGGTTGGGAACCTTTCAAGGTATAGTCAGTTCTTTTGCATGGAATGCTCATTGTTAATTACTGTGTTTAAACTCATCTGACATTTACCATTGTCTTTTTTCTAGATTACGTACACCAGTGATTACTTCCAAGAACTGTATGATTTGGCAGTGGAGTTGATTCGAAGAGGTCATGCTTATGTCGATCATCAGGTTGAATTAAATTTGAACTTTCTGATATAGAAATTTCTACTGTTTTTTCCAATTAATTCACATTACTGCAACGTAATCCACACATAAAACGTATCATATTGAATGATTGTTTTATACTTTCAGACTGCGGAGGAGATAAAAGAGTACAGAGAGAAGAAAATGAATAGCCCCTGGAGGGACAGACCTATTGAAGAATCTCTAAAACTTTTTGACGAAATGAGACGAGGTATGATTGAGGAGGGAAAAGCTACACTAAGAATGAAGCAAGACATGCAGAGTGACAATTTTAATATGTATGACCTTATTGCCTATCGAATAAAGGTAAGTGATTCTAAAATTATCTCTGGTTACATAAATAGGCTCTCCCCTGTCGTTTGCTGTCTGACTTGTTTATATGCTTTTCAGTTCGCACCTCATCCTAAGGCTGGTGACAAATGGTGTATCTATCCGAGTTATGATTATGCCCACTGCACTGTTGATTCTCTTGAGAATATAACACATTCGGTTTGTTCCTTTGTACCTCTTTTGGCTATTTACAGCATGACTTAATATAACTTTAGCAGCTGCATTTTGTGACCCACTATTTACTTTCTGTATTAGAAAATCCCTTTTTGGTATATAAAGCAACTACTTCTTTAAAAACTATTGCTGTGGTTCTGACTTTTTCTTTTATCTGCACCATTGTAGCTCTGTACTCTTGAATTTGAAACCCGGCGTGCATCATACTATTGGTTGTTACATTCCCTAAGTCTCTACATGCCATATGTGTGGGAGTATTCACGGTTAAATGTCACAAACACAGTAATGTCTAAGCGTAAGGTTGGTAAATTACTCAACTTGTCTGTCAACAACTTCTAAACATTTTATGCAGAGAATCAATGCTGGTTGTATCATTTTTCTTTTCTATTGCTGCAGTTGAATTACATCGTGACAAACAAGTATGTTGATGGTTGGGATGATCCACGTCTTTTGACACTTGCTGGCTTGAGGCGGAGGGGTGTGACTTCAACTGCGATTAATGCATTTGTACGAGGAATTGGAATTACTAGAAGGTTTGCTATATAGATATCTCATATCATACTATTTGGCATATGTCACTTATCTTCGTTAAATTTGCTCTCTATTGTTCTTTTTTGAAGTGATGGTAGCATGATACATGTGAGTCGTCTTGAGCATCATATTAGAGAGGAATTGAATAAAACAGCTCCTCGCACCATGGTGGTCCTTAATCCTCTTAAGGTGGTCATCACCAACTTGGAGTCAGACAAGATTATAGAGCTTGATGCCAAAAGGTGGCCTGATGCTCAGAACGATGATCCCTCAGCATTCTACAAGGTGAACCATTGTTTCACATATATGAGTTTTCTACACACAATGGAACATTTTCCTGTTTTCTTCATTTTTTCTCTGGGTTGTTGATCTAGGTACCGTTCTCTAGAGTTGTATATATAGACCAATCTGACTTCCGGATGAAGGATTCAAAGGATTACTATGGGCTCGCCCCTGGTAAATCAGTCTTGCTAAGGTATAGAAGAGGACACTGACATTTTTCATTATTACTATATGGCTTTGAATTTGATTCATTTGTGACAAAACTGCTTTCACCCTTTGCAGATATGCTTTCCCAATCAAGTGCACGAATGTTGTCTATGCTGATGACAATGAAACAGTTCGTGAGATTCATGCGGAATATGACCCTGGGAAAAAATCAAAGCCAAAGGTTCGTTTCTTTAGCCATTTTTAGAATTTCTGCAGTTTTGTGGCTCTTCTTAACCTCACCTTCTTTTTCTGCAGGGGGTTCTACACTGGGTTGCTGAATCTTCCCCAGGAAAGGAGCCGATAAAGGTTGAAGTCCGATTATTTGAGAAACTATTTAACTCCGAGGTATTTATCATTCTCTAGCTTCTGTTGTAGTTAGTAACAAAGAGACTTTTCCCTGGACTAAAAATCTTATATAATCATTACAGAACCCAGCTGAACTCAACGATGATTGGCTCACTGACATTAACCCAAACTCCAAAGTGGTAATTTCTGGTGCGTATGCTGTATCAACCCTTAAAGATGCTGCTGTCGGGGACAGATTCCAGTTCGAGAGGCTAGGTATTTTCTGATTCATGATCATAAATAGTGCTTGCAATTCTAGATGAACCGACACACACACACGGTAGAGATTTTAACAATAACTTGTGATGCATTAGGTTATTATGCGGTGGACAAGGACTCTGAGCCAGAAAACCTTGTCTTTAACCGGACGGTCACACTCAGGGATAGCTATGGAAAAGGTGGAAAGTAAAACAACTCACACCCATATGAAACAGTTTGTTTGGTCAAGACTCCCCCAAAAAGGATCTATAACAGTAAATGAAATCGTTGGTTTGATACGCACGTTGTGTAACAATTTAGTTTTTCTTGTTTCTTGAATTGGTCAAAAACAAAAACCATATCATCATGTTTCTTCTTCCTTAAAGGTTTTATCTTCAGATAACAAGATGCGGAAATCTCTCAGCCAGATGGCTTACAGAGAGATATGTATTGGTGTCTTTGTGCATGTGATTTTTGATTTACTGAAAATCGAAAAAAGCAAGTGTGTGATGGGATTGTGATAGGTTTCAACGTGTGATGCTTCTCATTCTCCTGCACATCATTAAATTCATTATCCTCTCGTCACCATGCACACTAAAAATATTGGTTCTGAAATTCCTATGGAAGCACATTTTTTTAACTGCATGAATATCATAGAAAGAGAATCAAAAGGTTGTAAAGGAAGAAGATGGAATATTTAGGGATTAAGGAATAAGGTGCTTTCGCGATAAGGACAATTGGTGATAATACTTCATGAAATATGTAATAAAATCGAGTCTGAAACAGCCATCTACGTTACATGTGAAGATATATATACACAAGTTACACGAGCTAATATTCTCAGCAAATTCTTGCACAACATTAACTAAAAAGAAAATGAAAACAATGTATATAGGAAACTCACATATAGAAGAGCATGTATAAAATTATAGCTAAGAGTATATGGAAGTCCAATGGTTCGGTTTTACTTGAGGTGTGATTTGAGTGATTTGAGTGTGCCAAAAATTTACTGTTTCTTGAGCAACATTTGAATTAGGTGATTCGCATGTTGATAATTTTACAAGGTCACTAAATTTGACTGATTACTATTCCGATAACACCTACCATTATAAAGACATATACGACTCTCCAACGACATTAATTATTGAACCAACTTATATAATTTGACCATCTAGCAGAGTAACAGTTGATTGCTTATTAATTTTCTCCATCTTTGTTGGATTCTCCCCCGGAACAACCGGTCGTGATTTTCTAGTAGACTAAACCAATCTTTTATCAAACTTGTCACCTACAACAAATATATGTAGCTTTTATCTCGTATTTAATCTGATACACAAATGTGATCCATTTATAACTTAAAATTATTGGAGATGAGAAGGAGACAAAGCATGCAAAGTCTTTCATCTCCAAAGAAAAGTATTTTAATAAATGTATGTACTCTCGTGTCTTCTTGCCCTCTAAAATTTTAATTCAAAAGTTTATAATTGCCCCCCTTGGGTCCAAATCATTCTAAAGCAAACTTCTATGAACTGACCTCGAACTGTGTATGTTAAATTTGAAAGTAATCAAGAATAATTACCTTTAAAGAATACAAGATTATACACTTCATAAGTGAAAATAAAAGCTATCTATCTCATTCAAGTTAAAGCTCTTGGCGTGGGACTGTATAGGTTCCACTAGTTTTGTATTTATTATCATTTTTGAAGCCACATACATGATTATCGATTGGCGGTGGACAAACTCCTCTTATGTGTAAATGCAGTCAATTTTTACGTTTTTGATGTATCATATCAAATTTAATAAGATTCCATCAAATTTATATTCCCAATAGGTAAATTGAGTGCTTTTTTTGTGTACTAACTTCTTCTTTTGATGTTAAACTTTTTACTAAACAAAATATGGAATTATAGAAGGTTGCTATCTTGTTTTTGGTCGAGGCATGCATACAAAAAAAAAATGAAGTAAGTATAGTTACGTATGTCTTTGGTTCGAATATAACTTTACATGGTTCCTAGAAGTTCCCAAGGGTTAGAAGTTAATTTATCAATTTAGATCGAACTGTTTTTCTAGAAGATTATAACAATTAGAGAACAATCGTATAATATTCTTTAAAACAAACTAATCATATAATGCCAAACCAATGTGTACTTAATTGCAATAATTATATTAATTGAAAGCATAAATAAACTTACCATGCACACGTCTAATTTTCTAATGAGATAAAACAATCAATCGTTTTCTAGAATCTTGACTATCATTCCGTCATTATCTCGGATCTAACATCGTGTATTCCCTTAATTTTAAATTCTTTCGCATATGTAGAAGAGAGATTAGATTTGTACTCCTTCATAAGATCCAAACTAACGAAATTGAGAGCTATTTAATATTCAAAGATT